CAACCTCGCAAAAATCCGAACCGAATCCAACTCAAACTAAAATTCATAAATACTCGAATAGAACGTATATTTTTAACTCCAAAACCTGGAATTCGAATAGATTCAAACGATGTGCCAGGCTACCTGCCGTAAACCGTAGAAAACAAACGAAAATAAATTTACGTAGTACTCCTTCTGTTTCGTAATGTTATATGATTTTCTTTTTTTTAAAAAAAATTGCTTTTAAAAAGATACATTTTACATCTGTAAAGTATATTTTATCAAATAATAATGATTAATTACAACTTTTAAAAAATTTAATTGTACTTATTAAATTCTCATTAGTTTAGATTTATAGAAAAATGATAATCACAAAAAAACTATATATTTATTATGTGTCTTATTAATATGCCTGAAAAACTTAAATATACAGTAAATTGAAATAGAGGGAGTACAAATGAAAAAGATTAGCTCTACTAACTGACTTTTGATATTGGGATATGCTGTTAACTTTATCGTTATGATGAAAACAGTTAGATTCTGATAGAATTGTTGAGTTCACATATTACGATTTAGATTCAGTTCGTGAATTGTAACTACACTCTAATCTATCCTGTTATAAATTATGTAAACTATTCATTTCACATCGAGAATAACGAACTGTTTTTATTTTAAACTTTTGAAAAAATAATAATCAATTGTTTTGCGTAAGAAACTAATCATCATGCATGATTTAGGAAAGAAGACTTACTCAGGAGGAAACCTCGATCGATGAGTGACATGTAGTGGAGTTGAATCGGGAAAAGTTTTTCTCGCAAAAATCTAGAATTCTTAAGTTAAATTTAAGGAAAGGTGTTGAGATGCATGCATCCCTCAACAATAGTTCACACTTATATTTAGCTTCCACATTTCTGATATCAGTTAGATCAGATATTTTAGATATCTGATATTCTTGGTAGAGGACTAGAAGATCTCAGAATCGTCACTTTTTTAGTTTAGAATATATTTTTCAAGTTCGGATTGGTTCGGAGGATGAATAATTAATATCCAAAATAACCATTTTTTATGGATACCAAATGATTTGGATTCAGTTTAGTTATTTTGAGAATTTTTATCAAATATTTTGGTAGAATATCTCGTAATTTGGATGATTTGGATTAATTCGAAGATAATTCAGATTATTTCTAATAAAAATATCTAAATATTTTTGGATAAATTGAATAGTTCTGATAGTTTTAGATAATTCGACTTTCAAATAATTTCAGATATGTAAGTATATTTTAAAGGTATATTTATATATTTTATTATTTTATATATAACTTATAGTATATCTATATTTAATTACCTTTTTAGATTTTGGTTTGATACTGGTTTAGTTTACATATTACAAATATAGAAATATATAAAGTATAAACAATGTGAATGTTTAAGAGTCTTGGTTTGGTTATTTTGAACGGATTCAATTATTTAGATCACCAATTCATTCTTCAAATTCAGATAAAATGTCCAAACTTAATTATTTTTTTATTTTTTTAAGTAATAAAACGAACGTATAGGAATCTCCCACATGATGTTATTTGAAAGCGATTAAGATCTAATAAACATTTTTTCCATAAATTTGGAAGATCAGAATAAACAATTTCAAAATTAACAAAACCTTCAGCCTCACTACAAAATATAGCTATTTCCTGAAGAACTAAATGCATCAAATTTTAATATAACTATTTCTAAAGGAATCTCGACGAAATTTAATAGATCTGTACTTGAAATTGTTTTGAAATTATTATACGTTTTGTATATAAATAACTTACAACATAACGTTTTAGGAAAAAACGATAATTAAAATCATAAATTTGCCTCCAACTTATTTAAGTTGGAGTTACAAAATAAATATTTACTAGTACCATAAATCTTTGGTTTTGATTGGAAAATAATATCATATTATAATAGTCTTAAATGCAAACAATAATACGAATATATATTTCCATGAAACGATCACAATCTTTTAACATATACACAACCTATCAGATAAATATTGCTCAGTAGTGGTGTGCCTCTGCGTACACCATTTAGATTATAGCCAATCATTGAAACATAAAAACTAGTATTTATATCAGCTTTTGGCGCCAAAGGATTAATGATTGGAAAACAAAAAAAAAAGAATTTCCAAAACATATTTATATATACCCACCATTTTTAGATTTTCTGACAATAATCAGATTTTGGTGACTAATAGTCAGCTTCTCTTAATCAGGTATCTTGATTAAATAATTCTACTTAATTATGAGAGCCAAACCCCATGTTACTATTTTCAATGTAGCTTATTAGTAGCAACCTGATTTCATGCACTATCATAATACGAAAAATATTTCTCTACTGAATTTAAATGTTTGGAGTATCTAATGGGTAACATGAAAATATTCCGAAACTAACGTTTCTCGTAATTTCTCTCTATATGGTTTACGGCTTGTTTGACCAACATATTTTTGAATGGTTATAGATTATAGTTAACATATTACGGAATTGGTGAACATGCAATTGGTAGTAACTGTGATATGTTCTAATAGTATTGGCGCATATCTCATTTTCTGTTTAGACAATGTAGACTGATCAACAACAAATATCTTTTTTTTATCAAATCAACAAATATCTAAAATGCAATTCTAAAGCACACACACATGACACATATATATACTGAAAAAAAAATGATATTATATCTTTATTTAGTATATCATCTTGTAAGATTTTAAATACTGAAAACATTCAGTGGACCAGCTCATAAATACATTCGTCGACTTTTCTAGAACATTGATACTGAAAGACGAGAGGATACTGCATGCATATTATGTAACTGAAGAAAGGGACAAAAGAAAAAGAGGGTAAGTGATAAATGCAAATCAACTCCATACCATAACTATAATAACTGAAAGGGTATGGGAACTCCATGTGCTCAGATTCTCATGTTTTCCGAATTTTATTGGTCCGCTTTCATGCATTCTCAGTCTCGGCCCTCAGGGGATTTCACCGTTGGTAATTAATCCCTTCCCACTATTTTAGTTAATAATTAATATTGCCAAATAAAAATCTCAACTACTACTCTTCCTAAAATCATAACTAAATCTTCTTTGTAAAAATTGATTAGGCACAAGTAGGGGTGGGCGTTCGGTTCTTCGGTTCGGTTCGGGTCGGTTCTTTCGGTTCTCGGTTCTTTCGGTTCTTGAATTTTGGTAACCATTAAGGAACCGAGAAAATCTTAGATCAATTCGGATCGGTTCTTTCGGTTATCGGTTCTTTCGATTCCTGAATTTTGGTAACTATATTAGAACCGGAAAAAAACGGTTCCAATCGGGTTCGGTTCTAAATGGTTACTTTGTAACCATATTACTCAATTTAATTTAATGCACTTGCAAATAGATGAATTAAAACCACCATCAAAATAACATTCAAATGATTTCCTCATTAAGAAACCAAATTCCAATTTGTGAAAATAAAACATCCAAAAAACACACAAGGTTTTTAAACAACCAAACACCAAACTGTTGAAAATAAAACATGCAAAAGACTATATGGGTATAAAGTATAAACTATAAATATATAAATGTATAAGGTAAGTGTATAAGGGGTTTTCATTCGGTTCTATATGGGTATTATTCGGTTATCGGTTCGGTATCGGTTCGGTTCCGGTTCTTTGGGTATAAAATTTTTGTAACCAATTTAGTAATTCATAAATTCGGTTCGGTTTCGGTTCGGTTATTTTCGGGTATGTTCGGTTCGGTATTTCGGTTCCGGTTTTTTTGCCCACCCCTAGGCACAAGACATATACTTTTCTTAAAAAATAGCATTAATTAAAACTAATTCAAAATTATCAAAAAAGTTTATAAAAACATTACTGGTTAAACAATTCAATATAATTAAAATTTAATATAAAAATATAAAATATTATACACTTTAAAGTATCTAAAACTCTTCGGAAGATCATATATTTTCGAATGGGGTATAACTAAGTAGTGAGAACGTTCATAAAACTTGTCTTCAAGATTCACTCACACCTTTGTGTAAACACTATATACCGATTTGAAATGTATACCTTAGTTATTGTTTTCAATATTTATCAGTCTACTACATTTTTTTTTTTTTGGTTTTTCATCTTGTTTTGATTGATGTCTTGATAAGTCGTTTTAGACTTTCAGAAAATTGCAAAAAAACGTCATCCAAACTCAAAATATTATAGGGGAAACTGTTTTTTTAGACCAAATAGGTTTGGATATTGTCCCTTTAGGCTAAATTATATTTTGTACCAATTTTGACTTTAATGCCCTTTATGTATTTTCGAAATTATTAAAAAAAAATAGATTTATGAAGCAATTTTTTCTTAAAAAATAGTACATAATGATGAAATCTCTATATCTATATAGTGATATTTTTTTCT